ATCCCTGCAGGGATTCTCTCTCTGCATGCTTCAATACAAGAGGAGTTTCATGGGAACAGGAGTTTCTGGGTATTTTGTGTGCAGTTAAAGCCTTATCTGTTCTGCAGCTAACCAGGCCAAGGTCTTCCTCACAAAGAGAAGCTGCTTTTGTCTCTGAAGCTTTCTGCAGGCAAACACTGTCGGGTTTATGTGAGACTTCATGGATCATTTCCAGCTGAAGACTGGAAACAGCAAAGAGGAGGAAAAGTTTAATAAAACAAACAGAAGCTGAGTTTTGGAGGGATAACTGGGTCTGCTCAGTGGTTCCCAACCCGTTTACACTGGTTAGTCTTACCAGTATAACCTCCCTCAACTATAAAGTACAACTGATTATCACATTTATTTACTCTCCTTAACTTGAACATTTCTCAGACGTTATTTTTTCTTCTCAAATTAAACAGATAAATGTGTGCCTTGCAAGTGAGTAATTAAATAAATAAATAAATAATAAACCTGCCTTTGTTACGACTAAAACTGGAGCTCAGTTGAGTTCCCTCTAAACCAGGGCTACTCAACTGGCAGCCCGCGGGCTAAATCTGGCCCACGAGTGACCAAAGTTTGGCCCAGCTATCGGTTTATTCATCTCTTTAGCTCAAACCTCCAGTTTTCTACTTTAATTACTGTTTGGTGTCTACAGAAACATCAGAATCTTATCTATAAGCTGGTAAACCATTTCTATGCACAGTCAAGACAGTTAAAACTACAGATAGAAGCTCAGAGAGGGAGAACTGTTTCCAGCTTAAATATAAATAAATAAATAAACAAACAAAACAAACACTTCAAATGCACCAATTAAACTATGTCAGATTCAGTCCTCCATTCTGACTTAATACAACGTTAATGAGGAGAGCAGAGAACAAGAAGTCCAGAAGCAGGTGGAGTCAGAGTCTGACCATCTGGTCCTTATTGTTCTCTGCAGCCGTGCACGTGCGTGTGCATGTGCACGAATGACCGGCAGGTTAACTCATGTCGGGGGTTGGTCTTCGTGCTCCGAGGTGACAGCGTTTCTTTCACTCCTCCTGAAATCCTTCACATCCCTGACTCGTGTACAAATCCATCATCATCATCATCATCAGATCAGGTTTTGCACCTGCAGCTCAAACCAAACGTGCTGAAATGATCCGATGACATCAGAACTTGGCTGTAGAAACTCTTCCCTCTCCCACTTCAGCCGTTTCTCACAGTCTTCCTGACATTAAAGCTGCTTTGACCTGTGAGCTCCACTCTGCTGTTCCTCAACTCCAGCCCGAGTGCCCTCGAGCAGAGCGCGGGGGGGATGTCGGCACAGACCACGGCTGAGAGATGAGAGCTCAGACCGTTTGTGAAACACGTCCACAGAAGTAAGAAGTGAAACAGAGACAGTGAAGCTTCACAGGAAGAGGAAGCTGAGAGAACATCCAAAAGGTCACCGTGACCCCGAGCATCTCCAGCTTTATGTTTGAACACCTTCTTTTCTCCCACTACAAACACAGAACCGCCTTAAAAACAACTTTCATCACATTGTTTCTATTTTCTAAGACAAGCCTGCCAATAAATCCTAAGATAAATCAATAAATTCTATGATAAATTATTTTAAGGTTGATAAAAAAAAAAAAGAATAATTTTCATTTTCCTGCTTGCTTGTTTACTTTCGTCTCTCCCTGTCTGCTGTGGTGCACAGGGGGCTCAACTGACCCCTCCCCTCCTGTTTTCTTACCGTCTRGAGGAGTCAGGTATGGCCAGGTGTGTTGTCTCGTACCTGTTTAGCACGAGAGCTCGTTGCAACAACAAACTAAAGAAACGCTGTTGGGATTCTGAAAAATGGAGATGGAAGTGGACAGCTGCAGTGTGGGAGCACTTGGATTCAAACCCAATGACCGTAGTGAAACACTAACCTTTGTGAGCCGGTTTGTCCAATTTGTTGTAAAAAAAAAAAAAAAAAAAAAAAAAAAAAAAAAAAACAACTAAAAGTAGCAATACTACAAACTTGCATCTGCACCTACAATATAATCATGCGATGCAGTGTTCTCAGCTGGGGAAAAAAAAAACTAAACTGACGAGTCGTCTCAGTCTTAGGATTGCCACGATTGGTCGACTAGTCACGATTATTGTCCACGATTAAAATCGTCGATGTGTTGTTTTTTCTAACTTTGTTTTTCTCTCTAAACTGCTGCAGCATCTTCCACTGCCACGTCTGCCACTGATACTTTAGCTTTTAGCAACAGTTTTATAGTTAAAGATTTAAGCCCTGATTGAGCTAATTCTAGCTTTTAGTTAGCATCTTCTTAAGTGTTTAAGCTAATTTTAGTTTCTTTAGCTACAATTTGCTGATTTTAACTTTTARCTACTAMCTTCTTTTAGCATTCAACTGTTTTTTAGCTTTTAGAAACAGTTTTATAGTTAAAGAYTTAAGCTACAGATGAGCTAATTTTATCTTTTAGCTGGTATTTGCAAGTTTAAACTTTTAGCTACCGTCTTAGTAAAGTCTTTAACTAGATATTTTAGCTTTAGCAACAGTTTTATAATTCAAGCTTTAAGCCCTGATTGAGCTAATTTTAGCTTTTAGCTACTCCACATTACTGTGTATAAAACTGGAAGTTATTTTTATAAAACATTTCTGCTGGTTTCAGTTTTAGATGATAAATTGACTAAATGATTAAAACTTTTTAAAACTTGAGCAGCGTCAGTGACGAGGTGAGGAAATGTTTTAACGTTTTTTTTCTGCTGGACAACAAAGTTCAGGTGGTCTTCAGACACGAGCAGGTGCAGGTTTTAATCAGAGCTGTAATCGTTGGTTTGTTCCTGTAATCTGCTTTGTTGTTGTTGATGTAAACAAAGTTTGTCTAAATGTTTGGGGACACTCCCGTCTCACTTTGTTGCTGCCATAAACCCCCCT